ATATACAATTCCATGTATAATCATGTATGATTATATATAATCTTGCATGGCTGTGTATAGCTCCATATATAGTTATGTATAATTATATATGATTATATATAACCTTATATACAATTCCATGTATAATCATGTATGATTATATATAACTATATATGATTATATATAACAATATTTAATTATATATTTATTACATCTAATTAATTATTGTGTTAATTTTATGGATAGAGTATTTAATATGGTCCTATGCAATTCTGTGTAACCGATCAAAATGTAAAAAAAATATCTAGATCTAATTTTATGGCTATAACACCAGTGGTCACCCATCCAACTGTTAACCCTGCTCAATGCTGCTTAACTTTGGTGATCTTCGTGCGTCTTGAAGTTTCTGTCTGCTGTGCTGCTGTCTTAGACAATAATGATTCTGTGATCTACTTAATGTATCATATGAGTTTATCATAATTATAATATAAAAATTGATTTTATAATATATTTGGATATTCATAATTCATAATTTATTTATCTTACCGAATTTCATTATGATATAACACTTATTTAAATAATAAAATAAATAATGATTTCACTATTACGTAGTAGCAGAGCAGAAAAAACATTTCATAGGAAATGTGACAAATTTTGTATTTCAGAATTATTTAAACGTAATTATAAATGGTAATTATAAATATCATTTTACACTTTTTGTGATTACCAAAAAAAATTTTTTTTTCACAGAAAAAATTTTTATGTATGTTAATTATATATAAGCATATATAATTATATATAATTATACATGATTATATATGGAATTGTATATGAGGTTATTTATAATCATATATAATTATATATGACTATATATGGAGCAATATACAGCTATGCAAGATTGTACATAGTCTCATATATAATTATATATGCTTATATATAATTAACATATATAAAAATTTTTTCTTTGAAAAAAAATTTTTTTTTGGTAATTACGAAAAGTGTAAAATGATGTTTATAATTACGTTTAAATAATTCTGAAATACAAAATTTGTCACATTTCCTATGAAATGTTTTTTCTGCTCTGCTACTACGTAATAGTGAAATCATTATTTATTTTATTATTTAAATAAGTGTTATATTATAATGAAATTCGGTAAGATGAATAAATTATGAATTATGACTATCCAAATATATTATAAAATCAATTTTTATATTATATTTAAGATGAACTCATATGATGCATTAAGTAGATCTTAGAATCATTATTGTCTAAAATAGCAGCATAGCAGATAGAAACTTTAAGACGCACGGAGATCACCAAAGTTGAGCCGCATTGAGTAGGGTTAGTAGTTGGATGGGTGACCGCTGGTGTTATAGCAGTAAAATTATATACTGACATTTTTTTTTGCATTTTAATTATTTTTAGAGAATCGCGTAGGACCATATTAAATACTTTATCCGTAAAATTAACCCAATAATTAATTAGATGTGATAAATATATAATTAAACATTGTTATATATAGTTATATATAATTATATATAGTTATATATGATTATATATAATTATATATGATTATATTTGGCCATTTTTCATATATAATCATATATAACCAATTTATATATAAATATATATATAATTATATATAAATATTTTTTCTCGGGTATAAATATATGTTATTTGCATTCGATATTTTTGCTACTTTTATATGAGAGGGAGAAGTGTCCATATTTCCACATAATTTATAATTCAGGTTTGTAAATATCTATAACGACGGCTGTCCGTCGTTAATACTTAAAAATTGAACTGAACAGATACTAGCATTCACCAGCTAACTAGTGTTCAAGTTCGATGGTTACCCATCGACCTATCTCGAGGGACGATTTGTCCTTAAAGTGTTAGTGAAGATGGAATAACACCATCCACTTGAAATAAATACACTAGCATCAAAAATATGACCGAAAAAGGCAAGAACGGGATATAAGAATATCTATAATGTTTTAGATTTAGGTTTAACTTTTGGGACCCTACCGAAATAGAACAATATCCTAACCATTCATTATTTTCGAAAGATTAATCTGTAATTATTAAAATAATACAAAAATATTATTAAAAATTTACACGTAAAAGTACGTCATTTATGCGTTACTTTTCCAAATAGTTATGAGAAAACACATCTTGGATCTTGTAATATGAAGAATTTACTTATTCGACCCTACACATACATACATACATACATACATACATACATACATACATACATACATACATACATACATACATACGGACATAGTGATATCCTCGGGAAAATGGTCGAAATTGTTTTCTAGGATCTCAAAACGTGGAGATCTAATGAAATCTCGATTTTCGAAAATCATTGATTTTCTTAGCGGGAAGCTAAAAATAAACAAAAAAAAGAACACCTATCATTCAATAAGTTTAGATTTAATCGTAAATAAATAGAATAATACTAAATGTTTTATTATTCATAACAAAATATTTAGAGTATAAAAAAACGAATTCATAGTGGAATGATTTGAAAGCTATTATTTGAATTTTATCCTTTTTAAAATTTTTTAGTTATTGTATAAAAAACATTTTTCTTAGGAGTGGTTGATAGTTAATTTTCAAACGTATTTTGCTCATGTATAAAATAAAATTTCGAAAAAAGCGTCTCACTCATAGATAGATAATTAAATTATCTATTGAAGAGTGAGCACTTTTTTTGAACATTTTTATTTATTTATGCATAAAATGCTTTTTGAGATTTCATTTGTTATACAAGTGTGACAGAGATCCTTCCGTTTGTCCATTTGTCCAGAAAAAATACTTCTTAAAGATTTCTCTATTAAGAGTCCTCAAAAATAAGGTCGTTACGATGTCACAGTTAGATGTCTTATAAACGTTTTAAAGACGTCTTTAAAAAACCCTCATCAAGAAGTCTGTCTGACTTGTATGCTGGCTGAGAAATCAGAAACATTTAATAAGCATTCAGCTTTTAGTGGCATATTAACAGAAACTGACAGTTGATTTATGTCTAGAGTTAGTAGGCTCCTTCCTGAAAAATAATTATGTAAACAACTTTTATAATTAGGGTATATATTCAGTAGAAATAAATAACGTAATATATTTTATTTTACTTTCAACATCTTTTTTGCGGTTCATTACTAGTTTACAATCAATCATGCTTTCCTTTTTCTGTTCAATTAATGAAGAAATAAAAATTTTTAAAAACTGTAACTAAAGGTTTTATTAAAAATTTTTATTTTTCAAATTCAGCAATTTAAAAAAAGGCGGGATCATAGATGGAGTGAGCAGCATATTTTTTTTCTATTTTATTACATTAAAAATAGAATTATAGACTAAGTAATTGAATTAATAGTTACGTGAATGTTTTTTTTTTTCTTTATAAAGTACTAACTAATTATACCAAGTATAAATAAATGCATAGGTAGTCATAAATTGTATTATTGTATTTTACCTCCGTGATATTGCGTTTCCTGCACATGGATGAGTATACAAAAATATATATACCTACATGCAATACAAAAAATATGCAATGTGTTGACTCATGTCTAGAAGTTTTGTATACACATGTACAGTGCAGATAAATGACGATATTTTTTGATCTATGTATATACTGTTAATTATTAAAAAAATAAATATAATTGGATAAATCAGATAATTTAGCATCAACAAATGTCGAGCTCAGAGTTTATTGCTACAGACACAATTGACGGTGTCTGGCCTTTTTTGCAAAGTGTGAGTATTTTAATTATTTTCTATTATTATTATTATTATTATCATTATTAATTATTGGAATGTTTTTTTTTTTTTTATTATCATAATTATCTCCGATTTCAGAGTACACTTATTATCATAAATGCTTTTTTGCATAATTAATTTATGGAGGTTAAAAAATTTAGGTTATACTGTAATTTTTTAATTTTAAATATTTTTTTGACATTAAAAAATTTTAAAAGACAAAAATTTTTCATCTTATTTGTTTATTTCTTTATGATTGACTTGCTTACAATGAATCGAATATTCGATTATTTTGTGATACTAAAAATAACAGCAATAATTCGGTTTTTAACATCTTATAGAATTATTTCAAAAATATGAAAATTTTTTAAATCTTATAATGGAATGTTATGATTTTCTTTGATTGATTTTACATTATTTGATTTAAAAATATTAAAAATTATTATACGTTTGATATTTTCACTGTAATAAGTAATAAGTTTTTTTAATTCTCATCATGAAAGTACTTTTGTTTTTATTTAACACTTAAGATGGTATGAATAAAAGTTCTATAATTATATTTTTTACAATTCAGAAATGAAGCAACAATTTTTTTAATGATAGCTAGATTTTTTTCCCAATAATTATTTACACTATTAATATTTATCATAATTTTAATTAAATTAATAACAATTTATCTTAACATATTCAGATTGAATGGAAAGACCCATGGCTAGCAATTTTATTAGCGTTTCATGTCGCCGTAACAATGACTGCCTTGATGACCAGAAATCACGCTAACTTCCAGATTATATTATTTCTAATTCTTTGTAAGTAATTTATTAATTAAATATCTGACTACATATTAACGTAATGTTACTTAAATTAAATGTTCAATTTACCCTCAACGTTTTTGAATAAACTTGAATATGAATTCCTTTAATTATTGCAGTACTCTTAGTCTATTTCTCAGAAAGCATAAATGAAGTTGCTGCCAGTAAATGGATGTAAGTACTATATCTGAAATTGATTCTTGAAATACGGACATAACTTTATTTTACTTTTATATTAATAAAACTTCTTTTTATTTCAGGTTATTTTCAAAACAACAATACTTTGATTCTAAAGGCCTTTTTATATCTATAGTATTTTCTGTTCCAATATTAATGAACTGTATGATAATGGTAGTAAGTATACAACAAACTTTCAAGTTGAAAGAGAAAGATAATTTATTTATTCTATAGTGCATATTTATTGAAATCAATTTTAGTAAAAAATATACTAACAGCTCATAACAAAATTATTAATAAAATAGATTTTAAGTTTTTGTTTAATCATTCGCACGTTATTTTAAGTTAATTTAAAAATTCAACTTTTTTTCTATTATTGCTGGTCTAAATTGGTATAAAAAAATAATTTCATCAACAAAGTTTTTTTTTCTAAAATTAGCTTCGTCTATAATTAAAAATGATGACCTTGCCTACAATAATTGATAATTGCAGAGCCTAAAGGGTAGAAGTACCGTTTGTGGACATTTGAAATCCAAATTATTGTATAAATCATTTATGAACGTAATAGCATCATAAATTCTGTTTTTAGGTAGATTTCATAGAAATAAATCTTTTGCATTGGTCCTTATGTCAGAATTTTCTCGGAATTTTGTCGTAATATCACTTAACTAGTCGAGTAAAGCTCAAAAATAACGTTAGTTAAAAAATTTATATATGTATGCATTAGGGTGGTCGTTAAAAATTAAATTTTTTGCGGCGCCCAAAAAAATCCTTCCTTACGAAGAGAAACTACGGGAAAAATTTTGCTTTTTGATTTTAAACAAAAAGAACACGTGCCGACGGGCAATTGAAATTTTTCAATTGAAGATTTTTCGATAAAATTATAGTTTTTTGAAATATTTGTTACGGTATTTAAATTTGGACAAAAAATCATTAAAACAAGCTTGTAGGAATTTAAATTCTCTATAAAAGGGTTTCTTTCGGTTTTATATAAAGTTCATATCTATCGAGATAATCTTATTAATAAATTCATAAACTTCATTAAGTCAGTCATTTTAGCACTAAAAACTTTATTTTTCCAGAAATATGAACAATTTTATAATTTCAATTCACAATAAGTTATTTAAATAGGTCTCGTAAATGATAACAAAGTTATATTTGATATTATTTCCTTATTTTCAAAACGGAAATGTGCAAATTTATTTCTCATAAACTGATTTATCAGTTCCAAGGTTTGAGTATGCTTCCTTTTGTATTTTTTATGTTTCGAGCTCTGTAATCATCCAAAATTTGAATAATAAACTGCTTCTTATCTTCATCTTTCGTGAACAAATCATTGCATTCTCGCATTAATTTTACACCGCGTTCAGCAACATCGTTCACAACTGGTAAATTATTTATAGTGTTCAAACAGGTCTGATAATTTATATTTTCTTGCTAGTTTTCACAATCATCTTTCAACCAAGTTGTATTCATACATAGTTTAAGAAAGAAATTTATTGAAAAAGGATTAACGAACTGTTCTAATCCTTGGTCGAATAATTTTGATACATCTTTTTCAGCTATTGCCAATTTTTTTGAATTATTGATTTGACGACTGTCCTCTGAAGAATAAAGTTCATCATTAGAAGTATCGAACAATTTTTGAACCATTTTTTTTTTTTTTTTTTCGTTTCTTCATCAACACCGTCATCGAATAATGGCATCAAACAGTTTTTTGGAGTTAGGTACCATAAATGAATCAAAATTTTTTTCAAAGCAGCAGAAGACAGTTTTTTGTCAATTGATTAGAAGTTGTCAATCGATTGCGAAAACTGGCAAGAAAATATAAATTATCAGATCTGTTTGAACGCTGTAAATAATTTACCAGTTGTGAACAATGTTGCTGAACGCGATGTAAAATTAATGCAAGAATACAATGAATACTTAAACCTTGGTATTGATAAATCAGTTGATGAGAAATAAATTTGCACATTTTTGTTTTGAAAATAAGGAAATAATATCAAATATAACTTTGTTATAATGTGCAAGGCCTATTTAAATAACTAATTGTGAATAAAAGTTATAAAATTGTTCATATTTCTGAAAAAATAAAGTTTTTAGTGCTAAAATGACTGACTTAATGGAGTTTATGAGTTTATTAATAAGATTATCTGGATAGATATGAGCTTCATTTAAAAACGAAAGAAACCATTTTGTAGAAAATTTAATTTCCTACAAGCTTTTTTTCATGATTTCTTATCCAAATTTAAATACCGTAACAAATATTTCAAAAAACTATAATTTTATCGAAAAATCTTCAATTGCCCGTCGGCACGTGTTCTTTTCGTTTAAAATCAAAAAGCAAAATTTTTCCCGTAGTTTCTCGTCCTGAGGAAGGATTTTTTTGGGCGCCGCAAAAAATTTAATTTTTAACGACCACCCTAGTATGCATATATATATATATATATATATATATATATATTTATATATAACGCGGGATGTTGCCGCGATTGTGTCTACAGTTCTCGACGGATCTAGATGAAATTTGTTACACATATTCTTTAGATAATAACCTTGAATGAGTTCAAAGATGAGCGAAATCCATCCATAAGTTTAGAAATGGCAGCTTATCAAAATTATCAAAATAGTGAAAATCACGTTTTCGGTGACTTCATTGATGTATAACTTTTGGTTGAAAAGAGATGGCTAATTTTTGATGAATTCATGTGAAAGCTCATGAAGTTACCTTTAATTTGACGTATATAACATTGACAAGTTAAGAGTACGTATATAACATTGAAATTTAAGAGTTTTATTGAACCATTTTCAGGCAATGTGTAGTGCGGCCGACTTATGAATGTTTTTCTGTCGAGAATTCGTAACAGATCCCAATGAAATTTAGTATACAAATTCCTTAGACAATTAGCTTGCATGAGCCTTAAAATGAGCGAAATCCTTCGATTAGTTCAGAAATAGTAGCTCTTCAAAATGATCAAAATAGGAGAAATTACGTTTTCGGTGACCTCATTTATCTATAACTTTTAATAGCAAAAAGATAGCCGATTATTGATAAATTTATGTGAAAGCTCATAAAATCACTTCTAATTTGACTACATAACGTTAACTTTTTGATCATTATTAGTTATTTTATCGAAGTTAAGAGTTCAATTGAACCATTTTCAGGCAATGTGTAATACAACCTACTTATGTATGTTAAAATAAATTTCATTCCATGTCAAACGAAAGTTATTAAGACAAGATGATAATTAATTCTATGAAATCTACTTTCCATTTCGGGTATGGCCGAATGGCGTCTTTTTATTAATGTAAGCGTTCAAAAATTCTATGAAAATATTATTTTAACATTACAATTTTCTACATAATCATAGAATTATAAATGCATAATCATTAAATCTGTGTCCAAAACTAGCACTAAGGTGTACAAAACCGGTGGTTCTACCCTATAATCTATTGGTGAAAGTTAAGGTGCCTGGTTCCATTTATTTCAGCCTGCCAATATATTTTTAGTAGTTTTTTATGCTGTAATTATTGAATTATAAATAATAATTCAAGTTTATTCTTCTTTATTTATTAATTAATTTTTCTAGGCAAGTTGGCTTTATCAATCAAGTCAATTAACAACAAATTTAAAAAGAGCTCAACTTCGACAGCGAGCGAAGATACGCCAAACTATTGAAAACCCGCCTACCACGACCAACAAGTCAAAGGACGAATAATTATGATTTCTAGTCAAAAGTAATTGATTACTTATTAAAATAATTATTTAAATTTCAAATATTATCATTCAATAGACAGCGGATTTTACCAACAAGAAAACGTGATTTATTAAGTGTTGACCATCGGAAATATTAATTGAAAAAAAATTCATTTTATATTACATAAGCTTTATTTTAGAATACTAAAATACGTTACTATTTTTAAGTTGTGTTATATTATTATTAATCTACGCAAAAAGAATATATATCATAGGTCATAATAGTAAGATTAATTTAGGAAAGAAAAAAAAAAAACGTGACTTATTAGTTATTAATTGGCACTAAAATCTAGTATGGTACGTAAAAATAGTTTTGTACATTTTTGTCAAGATCGTTGATGTGTAATATTTATAAATTTAAAATCATAGATGATTATTATTTGTGATATTTTAAAAATTAAGTTATTAATTTTATTGTAAATTTTAGTACAGTATTTGTTGGTTCAAATTTATCGACTTGACATCAAAAAATTATTTTATAGATTTTTTAACTTCTCGCTATGAAAATTAATGATTTTCAAATCTGGGAAGTTGTTGGTTTTACCCCAATTGTCGAAAATCAACTTCTCATCAGATATCCAGATTTTGAGTTCCTAGGAAGCAATTCTGATTATTTCTATGAAGATGTTACTATGTATGTACGTAAACTCTTCATAACTTTTGAACGGTTTGACCGATTAAAATACGGTTCCGCGTTGATTGAATCACTTCGGCTTCGCAGATTTTGAGAAATCTCAAAAATAAAATTCTGAAAAAAGGTTATTTTGGGTCAACTTTCAAACTAGAGTATCATTGATATCGATCGACTCCAAAATCGGACGTATCAAGCTAGCAGCGGCAAAACCCATCTTGGACGGATATTATTATTGATTTCTCGGAATCTAAGCAAGCAAGCAACAATAATATTCTAAATAAAGCAACTAATTAGCAACAAATTTAGCACCCCAAATAAATTTTGTTGCTTGAATAATGAGTCAATAAACGAGTCCATGCTAGCTTGATAGACCTTTCAAAACCTAATTAGCTCTTGGCCTCATAAATCAACTTCGATTTTCACAAACCGCATCAAAATCAGTTAATTTGTTCAAAAGATATCGTCTAAAAATATAGAAAGTGTTTTTTTTTCACACACTTCAGAGTTTCTTATCAGATCGTTTTTAAAGACGAATGTTATCTTTTTATGCTTTAAAAAACACATAAAATTCCCGACTATATTAAAATCGGTTGAAAGTTGGTATAAAGTTGTTGTATTGAACTCGAATAGTATAAAACTTTGGAATACGAAATTTTTCGAGCATATTAAGCTCGAATATAACAGAAAGTTTCCGAAATGGCCTGCAGGGTCAACCGTTTTTCGGATTTTTTTTATTAATTTTTGCCGTTATATTTAATACATTCCTAAGAGCATATTTCTTTTTTACAAAAACAAAAAATTGTATTTAATTATCTTTCGATAACTCAAAAAAAATTGATTATTATTATTATTATATCAAATTTAATAATTTATCGAATAAATTGAGTACTTAATTATTTAGTAAACAAGCATCTATATCGCAAGAAAAAAGTAGAGCTAAAAATTTAGTACAACGAATTTTTTTCATAATCTTCTCTATTACGTTGTTAAAAACAATATTGCATCACATTAGTTTTTAATAATACAATAAGTTATGAAATGATACTTGCCTACTAATTGTATAAATTTTTGTGATTTTTTGCATAATATGCCATATGTATTATTGTCAAATCAAATTTTAATAAATATCTATGGATTTATATTTATGAAAATTCTTAATTAAGGACTAACCATATCTGCTTGAATGTAAATTACATTTGTTAACGAAAGTATGAGGTTGTTAAAATTTCTTTATTATTTACATTATCACTCTTATAGCTTCTAATTTAAAATAAACAATTTTAATCACTCATTTATTATTTGTTTTTCTTTTATTCAAATTGATAATTTTACAATGAAATTTATTTATTAACTATTCATTATTATTCCAATTCAGGGAGTTTAAAGTTAGCACACAACTGACATTTTTTTTCTTTTATTAATTGTAAATATTTTTATTTTATTTGGAAATATACCTTGAAATTGAAAAAACCAAAAAATGAGCCTTTAGATTATGAAGAAACAGAAGTGTCTAAACTTTTTATTTTATTTTTTAATTATTAAAAAAAAAATATATTCATAATTGGAAGAAGATGTCAGCTATGTGCTAACTGAAACTCGTTTCAAGTCATTAAAAAATTAATAAAATCGAATGTGAATTAAGAAAACAAAAGAATGATAAAAAATTTAGTTTATTAAGTCTTTTCATTTAAAATAAAATTTTCAGGTATTTTTGCATTCTGTATTATTTAAATTTGGAGGAAATTTTAGTAGAGTTGCCGAGTTAGGTATGATATAGGTCCGCTTATCATGAATGCTGTACCACTTAACCATAGTTATAATAGTCAACTACCATGGAAAATAGAATAGAAAAAAAAAATTGGAAAATCCAAAACAACACGTTGCTAGTGCTCGTTTTACCACGAAAAAAAATCAGTTATAGAATAAAAAACAATAGTAAGAAATGATACTGAAATCAGCCCTGATTAAAAAAAAAGTATTGAAAAGAATTGGTTTTCTAGTCAATCCAATTCTTTTCAATACTTTTTTCGTTGTCTCAATACTTTTTTTTATTCAGGGAGCAGACATCTGAGGGCCAGTTTTTCAATCCGGGATAAAAATTTATCCAGGATAAAATTATTATTGCCAGTATATTTATATATATATATATATATATATATATATATGAAATATATAGATATATTTTATCATTGGATAAAATTTTATCCTGGATTGAAAAACTGACCCTTACAGTTTTTGCTATTTTTATAACCAATCATTACAAAAAATATAATTTAAAAAATTCGCACTTTTAATTTTTTTTTATTTTGAAATGAGGAATTTTTACGGAAATTAACTTAGCAGACATTTATTAATTAAAAAATTTTTTTTAATAAATAAATTATAGCAAAAAAAAATTACAAGAAAAAATTGACACGTAGAAATTTTGAAAAATTAAAAATACGATTTTTTTAAAATAAGTTTTTGGAACTAATTTGTTTGTTAAAAAAAAATTAAAAAATTATCAAGTGACTGCTAACTTTAATGTCATGGAATTTTTTGCTAAATTTTTGAAGTATCATTCAATTGTTATAAAAATCTAAAAAATTGTTAATGTCTGTTAGATTCAATATCATTAATAAAAAGGATAAAAAAATTGAAATTGAATTTGGCGCTCTAAATACGAGCGCGTATTGAGCCTGCGAACGTGATATACACAGTCGTTATTTATTTTGTAATATGTCAGAAAAGTGAGTATAAGAAACGCTTTCGATATAAATAAGGACATCATACACCACTTTAATATACTTAGATTATTATGTCAGTTTTAAGAGTTTTTAAATTTATTTATTATAGAAAACGCAAAGAATTTGAATAGCTATTTTTCATACAGTTCTTTCTCAGAAATTTAGAACCTCTTAAAAAAAAAAAAAAAAAAATGAGACTGAATTAATAATATTTGTAAATAGTTGTCGTGTCTCTTGTAAACCAAATTATTCATTGCTGTCACTGGTTTTTTGGGCTACAACTTTGTTTATCAATAAAATTAATCCACAAATTACACGAAGAATAATCACAGTTGAATTATCTACATGTTATTATAGTGGTTTGTCTATTTTTTCGGCTGAAAACAGTGTAATGGAACTTTTTGTGAGAAATTTTAATTAACTTATGCTTATTTTTATATTATTACTTAGTTTAAATTTTTCGCACCCTCTAACTAGTGGCGCCATCATTACAAGTTTCGAAAACGAATGTCGCCATTTTGTTTTGAACGTGTCACTAACTTCAGGATTTTTCTCGGCGTTACTGTTTACCGGCCTGAGAGTTAATGTGTGGTGTTCAGAGTGTTTGCAGTTCGCATTGAGTCTAACAACCTCTTTCATTGAATTTGTGTTGAATAATTTTTTTTTTTTTTAACCACTAAAGTATAAAGTTAGTTTTAAATAAACAAGTTGAAATTCAATTGTCATAATTGACAATATTAACAATATTAACAATTAAAAACAATAATAATAAAATAATAGTTGATAATAAAATAAATAAAGTAATAATAATTAACCCAACAAAAATGGATAACCCTGAGGAAGTGTTACAAGCTCTCGATGAATTTTCTAAAATGCGACCATCTGAAATTCCACGTGAACTTGAAGATTATCTTTGTTTTGTTGCTAAAACTGGTGATCCAGTATATCAATGGTCATTAATAAAACCATTATTTCGTGAAAAATTAGTACGTGTGATGACGGATTTTTATGAAAATTGTCCGGCGCTTGATTTGGCATCAAGCCCAAATCTTGAGCATTTCAATTACGACATTATGAAATGCAATCTTCTTGAACTTTTGGAATCATTTGCAAATGCTCCCTTTACTGTTCAAAGAATATGTGAATTATTGACATCGCCACGTAAAGAATATAACCGTGTTGATAAGTTTATGCGAGCCATTGAAAAAAATATACTTGTTGTGTCAACAAAAGAACCTGGTCCAGCAGCAAGACGAAGCGAAAACGGTGAGAGTATATTGAATGGATCTATTGACGACGATGATAATATTACTCCTAACAATCAATCCTCCCAAGAAGTTGAAATGGAATCTTGGGTTAAAGATTGCACTGGTGACGCTAACTCATCATCACTTACACCAACAGACCATGATCAATCATTAGTTGATACTATTTCACCATCAAATAAAATATTAACTAAAGATGTTAATACTAATAATCCATCGACTGAAGACAGTAGTAATTTATCAATTCAAGATAATAACAAGGACCAGTCATCAAGATTAGAAATGACGGTCTCCGGTTTTATATCTGCTGCTCACGATTTGTCAAGTACCCCATTAATAACAACTCCCAACTCTGTTCACGACACAATCACTACTGTTAATAATCTTTCTAACTCGACAGATCAGATATCATCAATCAATGATGTTTCCGAAGCAATCATCAATGAGGATACCAGCTCTCAACCAAGTTTGGATACCGAAAATGACAACAACTCTGAATCAAACTCCAATAAAAAGCTCCAAACAACATTTGAATCTAAAGATTTTGCTGGTAAATTAAATAATGAACTTGCTGATAAGTTTTACACTGGTAGTAATTATAAAACTGAAGCTGAATCGATAATTAAAAATGATGATTTAAGTAAGTCCATTGATGAAAAATTACACCAAAACTTGAAAGATGATAATTCTAAATCGGATGATGAGTCTAAATCATGTTACGAGAGTAATTTGGAATCAGAAACACCGGAAAAACGTCCACGTTTAGACGCTGACATCGATGAAGTGAAAAATAATAAAATTGATAATAATCGTAGTTTTTCAGTGGTTTCATCTCAAGACGAAACTGAAACAAACGACAGTAGTAGATTAATTGTCAGTGATACGGCAATTAAGAGTGACAAAACAGATAATTTATTAGGTAGTGACAGAAATGATCAGGAATTACAGTCTGCGGAATCATGTTCACATGAATTACAACCAGAAGCAACATTTGTAGCTGAACAGGCGCCAAAATTAACATCTGATGATTCAAAAAGTAACCCAGAAAAATCAAATGAAGAAACCACAACAGAAGCACAAGAATGCCAAGAGGATACTCCAAAACCAATTATTGAAGAACCTCCATCAGAATCATCATCGTCTTCATCTTTCTCTTCGTCAATGTCGTCACCATCGTCTTCATTAAATGAAACCACACAAGAGAGTTCAAAGGCTGATGATAAACAAAATAGTAGTGTTGTTATTCAAGAAGCTATGGATGATGACAATAAGTTATTTAGTAATGCATCAATTAACGATCCTATTCCAATTATTGAAGAACCTAAAGATGAATTAACTGTACCAGGTACTCAATTAGAAATATCTGATTATACAAAAACTGATTCTGATGTTCCTGCTGATTCTGGTACTAAAGACAATCCCGATAATACTGAAATACAAACACAAGCTGAATCAGAAGAATTAAAAGTAGAAGATAAAAATTTAGTTAATTTAGATGGCAAGAATGATGCTGTTGCTGTGGCTGTGGCTGCTACTGTTTCTGCCGCTGATGATTTGAATAACATGTTACCTACCATTCCGGATTTGTCAAATACTCCAATGGAGAAAGAAGAATCAATGGAAAGCGAATCAATGGAAGTTGATAATGAAGAACCTAATCCAGTATTTGAACAAGACGAACCAATGGAACAAGAAAGTGGAGATCAGATAAGAAGTTAATAAATATATATCTATATATGTATATATTCTATACATATATGCATATATTTATATAAATATTTCATGACTTATTATTTTTTTACCGTGGCTTAAATCCATTGACATTTGAATGAAAATAAAATATTAAATTTTTGACATAAATTTTTCATAAAACTTACTGGATACATTACTCATTATCAATTAATATATTAATACTAATATTTTTAATATTCTATCAGTTAAAATCAATTGTTTATAAGAATTAATTTACTTCAAGACACGTGCCCCGAAATTTTCAATTATTTGTGTTTGTAGTTTTTTTCATAAATTATTTGTTTGATGTATGTAGTTTAATTATTTATTATACGATAGAATTATATAAAAATAGATCTTTCTTACTAATATTAGTTAATAAAGTTGTCAATGGTTTCATATGATAATAAAAAAAAAAAAAAAAGAAAAAACGCGCCAGAAATCGGCAGTACAATAGTAAAACCTCGTATTTCTCTTTTAAAAAATACATAGAGGATGCGTGGTTTTACCAAAATGCCATTAACTTTAATGTCACTGCCTGAAAATTTTTTTAAATCAGTAAATAATAAAAAATGGAATACTTGAAATTAAAAAAAAAAAAAAATAAAAACAGTAGTAATTAAACTTATAAATATTTGACAAAAATAAATCATGAAAGATGTTACGTTAATAGTTATGTAAAATGGAATTAATTGCTATCAATAAAGGGGTACACGTAATATTAAATATAATTATAAATAAAAATTAAGTAATAAAAATACGTTAGTAAAATTAATTTAAGTGTATATTAACTGTGTATAGGTAAAATATATGCAGATTATTAATAAAAATTAAAAAATAAACATGATTTTTTTAATTATTACGTAGATTAATTAATTAGTCTGTAAAATAAAAAAAACATTTCCATTTAATTTGTCAAGTTTTTTATATAAATAATTTTAAACATATATTTATAATTTTACATTCCACCACATCCAATTTACATTATAATAAAAATGTTAATTTAATCAATAATTTATTTGAACGTCTGATGCTGAACTAATTTTTTAAATAATCCATTATTAATCAAAATTAATTCATTATAATTACCAGTTTCAACGACCTGACCTTTATCAATAACCGCAATTTTATCAGAATTTTTGATAGTACTCAATCGATGAGCTATCGTTAATACCGTTCGTCCTCGAGTAGCCCGTTCTAATGCTTCTTGAACATAATTTTCACTTTCAGCGTCTAATGCACTTGTAGCTTCGTCCAAAACCAAAATTTTCGGATTCTACAACAAGGTAAGTATGTTATTATTATTATTATTATTATTATTATTTCCGAAGATCGGTGTTTTCACTAATTGAAGAGTTTATATTTTTTTCAAAGCCATTATCCCCGATCCAAATTGATGTTATGACTAATTTAATTTTCATTAAATTTTTATTTATTAAATTTATTTACACCACATTATTACCGGTACGAGCACTCATACCGTCTTCAGGTGAATATATCCAATAATTAGAAATTTAAATTATTTAATTAAGAATATGCAAAGAATTTATTTTTATTTACTCAGTGAAACTTAATTTGGTTACCGAAAAAATTATTATTATTATTATTATTATTATTATTATTTTCAAACACATGTGATAAATATATGTAATATAATCTTACTTTTATTAAAGCTCTTGCAATAGCAACTCTTTGTCGTTGTCCACCACTCAAAGTAACCCCTCGCTCTCCAACGACAGTGTCCAATCCTTCAGTCATTCTTCGAGTAAATTCTAAAACGTTTGCAAGTTTCGCTGCATCCATAATATCTTTATCGTTTGCATCATTACTTCCGTATCTTATATTTTCTTTAATTGTACCGTTAAATAAAATAGGCTCTTGGGATACAAATCCGATTTGTGATTTAACCCAAGATGGATTTAATTCTTTAATATTATGATTGTCCAATAGAATATCACCTGAATTAGGATCGTACAAACGTAGTAATAATAAAGCGACTGTTGATTTTCCAGAACCCGATGGACCAACAATAGCGTTAACCGAACCCGCGGATAAGTTTAATGAAAAATTATTTAATATCCAACAATCATCTCTAGTTGGATATTTGAAACAAATATTATCAAATTTAATATCACCAGTAAGTGGTGAATCTAAAATTTTTCCACCTTCAATTGGTATTTTTGGAACACGATCAATAAACTCAAAAAGTCTTGTACTTGCACCTAACGCTCGATTTAATTCTGTGTAAAAATTCGAAATACCGCTTAATGAAATACCTGTATAAGCAGCATACAATAAAAATGCACTGAGATTACCAACAGTTATTGTTGACTCTGACATCATAACACCACCATAATATAATACAGATAAAATAATAGCATTACCCGTAAGCCCAGTTAATCCAAAAAATATCCCTCTATAAAAGCTTTCTTTATAACATAAATTTAATAAATCATCTAGTTTTGAGCTATAACGCTTTATCTCATTATTTTCCTGTGCAAACGCTTTAACTGTTCTTATATTACTTATTTTTTCTTCAGCTGTTGTTGCTAATATTGCTAAACTATTTTGTACGTCTTTTGATATTTTTTTAACAAAACGACCGTATACTATTGCTAAACCTGTTATCGGTGGAACAATTGCTAGTCCAACACATGCAAGCTGTGGCGATACGTAAAACATCATTGATACACCAGCTAATGTCATGATTGATGAACGCAAACCATCCGATATATTACTTGTTACAGCAGCACTAACTAATTGTGCGTCACCTAAAATAAAAATAAAATTTTTTACAGTAAAGTTAATAATTATAAGTAAAAAATATTTAATTTTTGTCATCATCCAATAAAAGGAGCCGGTTTAAGTGATTAAGTAATCAAATTTTTGTAATTTATTAAGTATTCCAAAAACTAAAAAATTGATATGTATGTATGACTGTAATTTTTTAATTTATCATAGATTTTTTTTTATAAAAATTAATCTAGCAGACATGTGTTAATTTTAAGAATTTTTTTTAACAAATAAATTACGGCAAAAAAATGATAAAAAAAATTTTACATGTAGAAATTAAAAAAAATTGAAGATGTAATTTTTTTGAGCAAATTTGGTGTTTAAAAAATGTTTTTAAATGGTGAAGTGACTGCTAACTTATATGTCATATTTGTTTTTCATAATTTTTGTTGAAGAATTTTCACGAAATAAAAATTATATTCAAATTTCAACAACTATTCAAGTAAAATAACAAATCGCGAGAACTCGGTTAATTTTATCAACAGCTTTTAGTAAAGCGGAAAGTCGCAAACAACTGAAACTTTTAAAATTACAAAAATATTTATGACACTGAAATTGGAAGACAAGTAAAAATTTTTGATTTTTTTTATTAATTAAATTACAACTAAAAAGATATTTATAAAGAATTGCACTTATAGTTTTTAAAGTTTTTTACATGTGACAATTTTTTTTTTTTTTTAATTACAAAACAATGAAATATTTACTATTTTCACTGTGATAAAATGACATAAAATAGTTATCTTTATTTAATACTTGAAAATTTTTTTTACCAGCATCTACTGATAAAAAATACTCAAAATAAATTATTTATTTAGAATTTTTTTCAAATTTTTGAAATAATGCCATAAGTATTATACCTATTTGAATATTTTTACAAATTAAAAAAAATAATTACCAGTCAGCCTTCCAACTAATTCACCGGTGCTTATTTTATCAAACATTCCTGTTTCTTGACTCAGTATTGACGAATAAGCTTTTTTACGTAAACTTTGAGTTATCCGATGTCCAGAAGTTGACATAAAGTATATCCTCCCAAAATTGCATATTCCACCAATAATAAACACCCCGAGTAATAATAAACTTATTTTCTTCAAATTTTCTCTCATTCTATCTGTGTCTTCAGTGTATATTACATCGATTATTTTTCCTAAACAAAACGGCACAGCCATTGTCACTGTTGATGATATCAACAGCAATGTTATTGCACCAGTAAGTTTCCATTTTTCTGGTTTTGCTAATGAAAACAGTCGCCTTATTTCCGACTTTTTTGCAGTAATATTTTTTACTGCTACACCGTTTTTAACACCATTTAATTTAACTTTAGGTGTATTGCTAGAATTTAATCTTAAAATATTTATATTTTTTATTTTATATACATTATTGTTATTTATCCTCAATGTATGATAATAACAATTTAATGGAATATCTATTTTTATACGTTGAAATTTACGTAAAAATTTAACACAAGTTATCATTTTACCTGATTGTGTCATCTTTTTTTATTGATTATTATTATTATTATTTCATAAATACTCATTTAATTATTTAATAAATTTTTTTTCTCTTGCCATTTGATTCTGAAAATTAAAATAGAAAAACACTTGTCATTGTTAAACTGTTGATTTAATTTATTGAGTTTCAATTAGATTAAATAATACTTACTGACGTAATTTTTAGGTTGTAAATAAATTATTTAATAATTATGTTAATAAATAAAAATAAAATACTCACTTTTCAAAATGGATATTTAATATTTATTATTAAACATTTTAATTTATCCCTCATATACACTTATTTTTTTTTTTATTTCATGATTTCATTGTCGAGGTTATATACCGATTTCTCTGAATAAACATCTACATTTGCGTTCATATATATTTACCTATAGCTAAAGTAGTTAATTATGCATATCACACTATATATCTATATCATTTATTCATACCACTTGATGTCTGTTTTTCAACTTTCTTCGATAAAATTATGTTAAATATATTTATAAGTTTATCGCGAACAGTGTAAAAACTTTTCTACATACAAAAAAATTATAATTAAATTAAATCTAAAAATACTTTTTGCTTGAATAATTTATTACTCATTTATCCGCCCATTAAAAGTATTGTTTTAAATATTTTTATTTTATTGCTCAACAATCAAAATAATCATCAATAAAATATTGCGGTAATTAAAAGTACATTTGACAGGATAAAAATTAAAATATTTATTATGAAATGTGATCAGCTGAAAAAAAAAAAAATTTTTTTTCAGGCAGCATTTAATTTTATGTATTTTACATGATATACTTGATACAAATTGAAATTAAATTGAAAGTTGTGAGAAGTCATTGTAGGACCTGGATTACTCCTCCATGTCCAGGTCCCCGAGTTCATCTTCTAAACCTTCTAAATCGTCTTCCGTAAAGAGATTTTCATTGATTGCCAATGCACCAGCACCTTCTCCAACTACAGTCACTGTAATAAATAATAAAAATATTATATGTTTTATAATTTAGATACAAATAAGTTTAAGGACAAATATTAATTTACCGGAAGATTCACCATTAACTTGATCGCTTTTAGATTCAGTAACGGTACTCTTCAATCTATCAGATTGAGCAATTGTAATTCCAGCAGTATCTAATTCGCTAACTTCCAATGCTAATTGATCCATATCGAGCTCACGGTACTCAATGTTTTCTGGGTCTTCTTCATGCAATGCATAGCTGTCGATAGCTTCGTCACCATCATCAATACCTATTAAAAAATTTTGTAGTTAATAATAAATATTCTAGTAAGCATTCAAAAATACATAAAAAAAAAAAAATTACCATCTCCTGCAGCAAGCTCTGGATTAAAGGAAAACATCTCACGACCTGATATACCAACTTGTCGACCAGCTTTGAAATCACTACGTTTTTTCTCTTCATCTTTTTCAGCTTTTTCTTTCTTTTCTCTCAACTTACGCTTCTTCCAAGCTAAGAAAGTCTCTAGCGTTATTCTCGTCTATTAACAAAGTATTAATCAAATAATAAGTTCAAATTATAATTAATTTATACTTTTTAAAATTGAATCAATGTGTATCTACTATTTCACATTAATAACTATCCTAAGAATTTAAATCATTGATTTGAAAATTTTTTCACTTGATTCAATTTTAGTAAGTATATTGAATAATTAAAAGCAAATTGATAATTTAGTTAATTACTTGATTAGGTCCTAGATTAGCGCGCTCTCTTTCAATCAAATCTTCAAGAGAAATTTCATCCTTTTTATCTTCTTTTTTCTTGTCTTTTTTAAGAACGAAACCTGGTGGTAGTGCATGTCTGTAAATACATTTTGCTTTTAAAGGACATTCCCAAAACCATCCATACTTGGATTTCTCCACAGCTTCCAAGAAATATTTGCAAATCTATAAGTATCATAAAACAATTAATATCCAAGTTAATAAGAATAAAATAATTTAGTTTTTAATCTTTCTAGAAATTTGAATAGCGTACAACACGTGCGCTTTAATTTTATCTAATGATGAATCGTGTCGTATTTTTTTACGAGTTTCGGCTAATGACTAACTTTAAAATTTTTATGTATTTTTATTTAGAAGATAAAATTATTTATTTTAACATATTCATAATATTAATAAAAAAAGTCGTGTACTCTAACTTCTTGCTCCGATCTATGTGGTTAGTAAAAACGAGCAATTTTCTTATTTTGCACAAATAAAACAAATACAATAAAAAATATCAATTTCTAATTAAAAAATTGGTTGAAACCAGTGTTAACAATGACGAACATTTAAGGGGTTATATACAGTTAGAATTTTCAAAAAATCGATTTTTTTTAATTTTATTTTCTTAATGTACATATATTTAAGAATACACACAGAAAATTTCATATCGTTCCGGTGAATATTTTCGAAGTTACACGCAAATAAAAAAAAAAATTTGTATCTTATGCAAAGTGCTTTTCAAACTTTAAACGCGTTTTTCTCAAAATGGAGTTTACAAAATCGGTGACCAACATTACTCAAAAACGGCTAAACCGATAAGTCTCAAATTTTAACACGAGCTTCTTAAATATAATTTTTAGTAATTAATCGAAGATTTTTTCTTACCAATAAATATTTTTTTTTTTATAAATAATTTAAGGCCAAAATTTTGGTCAAAAATCGATTTTTTTTTTTTTTGAGAAACCGCCATTTTGTCAAAAAAATTTATTTTGCTTATTCCTTCGATTAATTACTAGATTTAACATCACTTTAACGAAATCTGTTCGGTTTTTTAATTTCAGAGATATAGTAGTCACCGCAAAACATCTTTTTTGAGAGGAGCTCCCGGAGATCAGCTGTAGCTCCTTTCCAAATAAATATTTTTACTAATACTAAGTCTTAAAATATAGTTAATAGATACCATAATATGTGCACAAATTTTTAGATCAATAAATTAAAAATTTTCTCAGAAAAAATTCTGGAAAATTTGCTTTTTTTCGGCCTTCTAACTGCATATAACCCCTCAATAAATCTAATAATTCCGTCAATTTTTAGGTAATGAAAAAATAGATATTCAGAATAACTTACAATATCAGTAGTAGGTCTAACACCTCCACTACCGTGTTTTTTTTCAACAACTTCCTTTAATTTATCTTCATCCCATTTATCCATTGTATCTGCTTCCTTGTCATCATCTCTCATATCACAGTACAATGATCTTTTTTCAGCTTTACGTTCAACAGTTAAATCATGAGAAAATTTACATTTATCGCCTTTAGTACATTGGCCTTGTTTGAAAAATGCACATACTACGGACTTTGGATCAGTACCTTGAATAGTTAATAATTTCAAATTTAAAACAGTTAATAATCAAATCCAACTAATTGAGTAAATACTTAAAGAAATAAACCAATAAAAACCTTTGTCAACTTTTTGCACAGGTTTAAATAGAAGAGCCAGCTCTTGTTGTTCTTTTAATTTCTTTTCTTTGTCAAGTTTTTTTGGATCATCTTTCTTAGATCCAGGTTTCACCTGCTTTTCTACTTGCTGAATGAATTTTTGTTGTTTAGCACCTTTTTTGTTTTTCAATCCAAATGTCTTATCCTAGAATAAAAAGTTTTTCATGTAAATTTGATCATTCAACATATGTGAAAATGAATGCATTATAATTATGTATTTATTATTTTTTCCTATTTAATTCAATGTTACAGTAAATAATGTAGCGTACGTGTATGGTAATATGTGTATATTATGAACATACCTCAATAACTTTTTCTTTTTTCTTCAACTCTGTTTTTTTACTTGGAGCCGGTGCCTTTTTTGGCGGCATTTTTAGTTTGAGTTTTTACTTTATTATAATTTAATTAAAAAAATTTAACACGCTTTATCGGACCGATTTTGAGTGAAAATGAGCTAATAGCCCGAAAAACCATATGAGATTTTTTTGGATGCCATGCCAATGAAAAATGTCAATAGTGACATCTAACAGTTTCTATTCTCACCTAATAATAATGACTACGTGAGTTTTTACACATATAAATAATCAATTATATGTTCGAAACTGCAACTCAATGAATTTATTTATCAACTTTGTCTAATTGAACAATTAGATAACTAATAGACATTGTTTTTGATTTTCTTGGTATTGTCACTGGTAATTAATGAGCATATATATTATACTGTATGATACATGATGTAGTTATTATTATTATTATAAATTTACAGTGCTACCAATGAAGCAATTCCATACGGCAGAAGTTCAGTCGGTAAAATTTGTGTGAGCGCGTGGAAGTATATGGGGCATTCCACGCCAAATCAACCACTTTTGACCCTGACCCCTTTTGATTTGGCTGAAAGTTTACCATTCTTTTCTACTCTATCAAAAACGTCTCTCATAATTTTTTCAAATTTTTTTACCCAACCAAAAAAAAGTCACGAATTTTTCAAAAAAACCGCTTTTTTATTTTTAAATTGCCATAACTTTTTCAAAAATTCGCTTATCGGGACGTTTATTTTTTCAAAATTTTTGTTTTTTAATACACTTTTGAAAATAAAAAAAAAATTTGATAGAGATTATTCAAACCTATCTTCATCGTTATTGATGAACTACTTAAATCTTCAGTCGGTAAGCTAGAATGGGATTGTTCTATTTACAGTTCCCTCTAAATCTGTCCGGTTATATAATAACAGTACAGGGAGAAAGAAGAGAAGGTACATTTTGTGGTCTAAGCTGGAAAAAATAAGCGGTGAAGTAGGGTCTTTAGAAATAAGTAGTTTTGCGGACGCCACCCAGTGCTTGAAAATTGAACTTACTGAGTGAGTATGATAAAAATTATTTGGCCTAAATTTTAGAGTTATGAATAACCTTAAACGCTGTGCGCTCTGAGGCGTGCAATGACCAATACAATCTTATTTATCGAGACATTTTAATAAATCGATTTAAATGTGCACAAAATCTATTATTTATATATTCATACTTATATGAGGTTTTTTTTTTCAAAATTTTTTTTTTTAAATTTTTTTTTTGGAAAAAAATATAAAAAAATTCTTTAAAGCTATCTTCATCGTTATTTTTAAAATTTTCAGAAATAACTCCGAATTTTTTGATGAATAACATTTTTAGTTTTTTTTTTCTTTTTCTCATTCTAAACTTTGACATTTTTTATAGATATCATGAAATTTCCAGAAAGGTGTTTTTCCGATTTTTATTTTTTCTTTTCAATTAAAAAAAAAATTTTTTTTCTTTTGTCGTATTTTTCATAACATCGGTCCAAAAATTTACGGGAATCCTCGAATTTTTTTCCAAAAAGAACATTTACTAACAAAAATTTTGAAAAAAAAACGTCCCGATAAGCCAATTTTTGAAAAAGTTATGGCAATTTAAAAATAAAAAAGCGGTTTTTTTGAAAAATTCGGAACTTTTTTTTGGTTGGGTAAAAAAATTTGAAAAAATTATGAGAGACGTTTTTGATAGGGTAGAAAAGGATGGTAAACTTTCAGCCAAATCAAAAGGGGTCAGGGTCAAAAGTGCTTGATTTAGCGTGGAATGCCCCATATGTATGTATGTACATACGTTTGGTAGATGTGTATGATGTCCGATAGTGTGTGTGTTTTCCTCTGCAGAACATAGATTATTGCGACATCTTGTAGAATTTATTATTTTAACTTTCAAATAATTCTTTCATAAAACTTTTAAGCAACAACAATAACGTTAATAAATAATAGTTTGAGAAACAAACTTTAATAGAAAATCCAACTAAAAAGTAGAAATTAATTTTCAATAAGTTTAAAATAAAAATAGTGATTGAAAAAAAAAAATTCATTTTATCGTAAAAATGCGTAGAATGCTTGGTGTCAATTATTGTATTTTGTTCTAAATATTTTATTGACATATATTAGTAAAAAAAAAGTCATGCGAATATCTTTGAAAGCATCCTACGCTTTTTTACAATAAAATGATTTTTTTTGTTAATCACTCTATTTTTATTATACTACTGAAATTAACAGACCTCTGACAATTTTTAGAATTTTATTCAACAAACAATTTATTGCAAACAAAACTTTGAATAAACATTTGACATGCAAAAATCTTAGAAAACTATTAATGCATTAACTTTTTTATGGTTCTATGTCTTTTTATCGGTAATCATTTCTCATGCAATAATTTCTCGTGACTAAAAAGAATCTTTACTAAAATTTCTCATAAAACAAAAATATATCTTTACGAAAATTTCTCATAAAACCAGAATATATCTTTCCTAAAATTTCTTATAAAACAAAAATATATCTTTATGAAAATTTCTCATAAAACAAATACATATCTAATTTTGAATCTTGGGGTATAGCACGAACGAACGTAATCACGTAGCGCCCTTTTAACAAGATTTCAATGTGTATTTACTAAAAAATATGCCAACACACACGCACGTATTTATGTATAGTAATAATTTGTTTCTTTTCAAATGGGGGGCTTTGCTCTCCAACTCCGCTGTTAATTTTTGCATGAGAAATTTTTATCAGATTAATTATTGCAGGATTCACTTTGGCTTCGCTTCCCCCAACCCCCACCGGGGCTTCACCCCGGACCCCGCTGTTAATTTTTGCATATGAAATTTTTGTCGGATTAATTATTATAGGATTAATTTTAGCAAAAATTAATTATGATGTTGATAAATATTTAACTGATAATTTATTACTGAGAAATTATGACCTGAGAAATTTTGTCTTGATAAATAAGAGACCGTTACCCTTTTTTATGAAGTATATTTTTTCGGTACTAATTTACTTTTTAAGTTAAATTAAAAATTATCAGATGTCTGCTGAGTTCAGAATCATACTTTTATTTTAAACTTATTGAAAATTAATTTCTATTTTTTAATTGGTTTTTCTATTAAAGCGAGTTTTTAGTTTTTTAAACTATTATTTATTTTTTACTTTTTAGTTCGATTTACCATTAATTTAAAACGGGGTTTTTTATTTTTTTTTTTTAACTATAATATAATTAATTAAGTTTGTAACTACCTCACTGTGACAATAGTGGGTATTTGCGCGCCTGCTACCTTTTTTAGATGTGATAACCGTTTCTTAAACTCTCGTTTCGGTTAATTTACACGTGTACTTGATGCAAGACTCTACCGTTTTCGGATATAATAAAAATTTCTAATCATGAAGATCCTGGCCAGGATAAACATTCAATTATTGCATTATCATAGGTCCTTTATAAATGTGCAAAGTTTTAATTTAATCCGAGGTTTTGATTACTGATATTTAATTAGTAGGGCCCGGAAAATAGGTCAACTTCCGTGTCCTATTAATTAGTTCTCTCGTTATGCCTTATAAATTTGCCGCTCACAGAGGAATCCAAGTTATTTTAGCGCGTGGTCAAACCTATTATTTATCACTATGGTTTATACGCTTATTTGAAGTGTTCGTACATCTCAGTTGTTTGTATTGTTTATTAATTAATTTCTAAAACGAAAAAATAGTTAACTTTCAAAAGAAGAGAGAAATAATATTTACATCTTTACTAATAGTATTTATACCTTTATACCCTCTATAGTGTATAAAAATTGTAAATAAATTCATGAAATATTTATTATCAATAGTTGATAATTGTACAAACTTATTCTACATCACTAATAAACTAAGCACATAAATCACTTACCTTTGAAAATTCAATCCGAAAATAAAAATAATAATAAATCATTTCGTAAGATAAAAAATAGTGAAAACAATGATAGTCCAAATTTGATTCACGGTATTCTTAAATTCAATCCATGTAAAGTTATTCATTTAAATAAGAAAAAAAAACTAGATAGATTAATAAAAAAAATAAATTAATTAATTATCTAATAAATTAACTAATTAAATCATGTTAGTTGGTATTTTTTTTTTATTCATTAGAAATCTATCCGAAAACTATAAAACTCAGAGTATATAATAAATATTAACCATTAAAAAATCAAAATTTACAGACAATTAACGAGTTTTATACAGTTTTAAGAATAAAAGTGATCGACTTGTTTTTGAATATTCATTACAGAAATTTGGGCTGAAAAAATGACTTTACAAATTCGGCTTATACAAAGCTAATATTACCAAAGTGAATAATATAAAATATCATTGATTTTTTTTTTTCCATTGTCGCATTAAACATAGGTTTTTAGGAGTTTTATTATTCTAAAACAATATATTCCAATTCTTTAAGGAATCATTCTGGTTTGTTACTTTTGAAAAAATTATTTTTTTTTACATTTTTTGAAAGTACATATATCTACAAGTATTGTGTTAAAATTTCTAAGTGATCGGACCACTGTAACTATATTATTTTACGAGGTTTATGTGGATTTTTGAGTGAAAAAAAATCAAATTTTCAAACAGGCTAAAGGGATTTTGTATGATGTACAAAAATATAAAAAAATTCGAATTAGATATTGTTTGTGTTATTCAAGAGTGTATGTGTTGAGCTGAATAAAGTTTATATTAACATCTATAATCGTTTCTGTGTAAAAAAATAATGAATATTTGCTTCTTTTCGAGCCCCGGAACCAGAATGATCCCTTAATCTACCTTTTAGATGAATTTTAATTAAAAATTATCACAATATCTATTATTAGCTTTAAATCATCAAATGATTTACTATATATAAATTAAAAATAATACATTTAATAACTAAAGTACAGTATTATTTATTATTTAAATTTAATATAACATCACTAAAATTTTAAGTAAAGGATTTATTGTTATTATTTTTCGTTTAAGGCTCCCACAGCAGTCTCACGAAGTACCATTTATATATATCAGTTCTTGTATCCACAATATAATGAAGAA